AGAGGATTCCCTGAAGTCCAGCTACTGGCCTGTGCTGAAAAACCATAAAAGGAATCATAATTTTCCCCTCTGGGAGCTTATTTTGGGACAGCAAGGGCAAGCAAACAGTCAGTTTATTAAACCACCACATAGGAAGAAATCCCAAGGCTAGAGGCAATAAATAACACACATGTGTGTATTTGTCTGTATCGCTGTTTTTGTGCGTGTGTACTGTTTCCTATGTGAGGTTTTCCAGTTGGTGGGTAGCAAAGTCAGTCATTTCTAACTCTTCTCACATTAATTGCTCACAAACAGAAAATGACAGAGCCCACATTAAGAGCATACACTATTAACCCTTAAATGCGCACTTACATACTGTATACATATTTTGGAAAATGTATTTGATTGCGATTTTCGAAATGATACCCATATAACATTGTTATTACACCCATCACACATTAATTCAGCCCTATTACACCCATATTACACCGATGTAACACTGATTACACCCATATCACGCATACTCCATAGTAATTACACCATCATTATATCCACATTACAAATTAATACAACCATACACCCATGTTACACCAGTATTACACCTGTATTACACCCATATTATACCCATGATACATTGTTATTACACCTATATTACACTGTTAGTATACCCATACTGTATGTCAGCCATGTAACACAAGTATTACACCAATTTGAACATGGACACAGCCTGTATCCCCCAGGATATAAAAAACAATTATGGGTTAAACCTTTTCAGTTTCAGTAAAAAAACGTTTGAAGTCTCTGGATGAATTAAGGCAAAAGACCGTATCAAAATCTGTTACGGTTGTTCCACAGAAACATGACTTCTATCAGTGCTAATGTGATATTAATGGAAATCATAAGAAGAGTTACAGTGAAATATAAAGGATTGTTAACAGAGATAAACAGCTGTGATGACCTCCATCATGAATAAGAGCTGGACAAAAAAGGACGTGCAAAGATTAACTTTAAAACCTCTATTTTTTGTATTGCTGTATTGCTTTTAAATATAATCTCATTATTTAAAGTGCTCAGTGTTACATCAGATAGAGATAGAGAATTCATATTTAGTTCTCAGCTGTTGAGTGTGCCAACCTTTTGTCTGTCTTTTACTGTATTTATTCAAAGGCAGTTTTATTAACTACCCAGTTTACTTTTCAGATGTTATGTTGAGATGTTTATCAGGATTTATTTTTGATGTATCAGGTGAAAGATCAACAGATGAATTGTTCTATGTTCTAAGATGAATTCATGACATTGTCTGAATATTACATGTTTACACCTAACAATGAGGAAGTCAGGCATAAGATTTGCAAACTCCGCTGATAGATTTCATTTAACAGAGCGCTGCCGTCTAACAGAGATTTGTGTCAGGCATTGTCAAGTTATCAAGCAGAAATCAGTTATCTGCCGAGGCGAAGAAGAGGTCTCCCAGATGAGACTGGCAATGCTGACTCAGCAGAAAAGTCTTGACAGGAAGAGGAAATGACCGCTGCATGTTCTCAAAGAGGAAGATGATGAAATAAATAGGGGATGGAGTTTGAAGGTAGTTCTTCAGTGAGGAACTTGACAGACTTGCCCTCTGGATGGCAGTCAGTAGTGGATGATTCACAAATCTCGTTGGCAGAGATCGCTGTGGAGGCGGCATTAAAGATGCTCTGCAGAAATGGTTCCTTGGTGATTGAGATTGGATGGGAAATTAGATCCTATACTATGCCTTATTCATGAAATGTTTTAGGATATATTAAAATATTACTTTTTTATGACGTTTTCTTATTACAGTTTTTGTGACATATTTATGAAAATCATATTTTTTAAATGCCATTTTTACAGCATACCTATGACCTATGACCTTTTGACCTATGACCTTTTCATTACTTTTTTCATGAAGTAACAAAATAAGGTTTTTGAAATGTCACTTTTGACGACAAACCATGACCATTTTATGCAATTTTTCATAATGTATGATTTTTTTATGACATTTTAACAACATACTACACTTTGACCCTTTCAAAACCTTTTTTATTTATGACATATAATAAGTTCTTTTTTTTGTCTACTATATCTATTTAGTTGCGGTGGTTCGGGCACATAGTTAGGATACCACCTGGGCGCCTCCCTAGGGAGGTGTTCCAGGCACGTCCAGCTGGGAAGAGACCAAGGGGTAGACCTAGGACCAGGTGGAGGGATTATATCTCTTCGCTGGCCTGGGAGCGCCTTGGGATCCCCCAGTCAGAGCTGGTTGATGTCGCCAGGGAAAAGAAAGTTTGGGGCTCTCTGCTGGAACTGCTACCCCCGCGACCCGACCACGGATAAGCGGGAGAAGATGGATGGATGGATGGATATCTATTCTACTAAATTACCTGTTTAAGTTTCTTTTTTACTGAAATATTTTACTATAACATTTCCATACTACAGTATGAAAGTCAACTTGCACAAGCAATAGAGAGATAATCCATTTAGATCTGGTTTTATTATTGACAAGCGACTCATTGCAAGATAGTACAGGTGTGAGTACAGAATTATATAATATCCTAGAAACAATAAATTAGCAACAACATACTGTATACAATAAGCAACAAATCACCAGCAACAAAACATCAATGGAATAAACAACAAATATACAAAGACAAGACTAATCTGTTGCAGGCAGAGTTACATTTAGTCACTGCACGATTGTTTGAGATCAGTATATTTTGTTCCTGAATATATCGTTTGGTCCATTTTCTGTTTATGTAACTCGACTGAGCAAGCAGAACTGATGCTAAAATGCTTAGATTTGTACATTTGCTCTCAGCTAACACAGCAGTATTTAATTAGCAAATCTCTGAGTTGTGTTCTGCATGCAAATGTTTGAAATGTATTGAGTTTGCCCAGTGGTAAAGTTGCCATCAGTAGATTTTTAAATGAGTTTTAAAATAAGCAATCAAATTACCAAGACACTGAAAAATCATCAGTAAAAAATGTAGAAGACTAATGCGGCTAATAAAGATTCCCTCATGAGGATACCAACCCTATAGCGAGAAAGAGATCAGGAAACTATCCAATGTCGGATTGAGGGAGAGGCCCACACCTTCTTTCACTGCAACATTCAAATGGCCACACTATTTTCCACCAAAGCAGGGTCCATGTAAGTGTATGGGACCTCCAGGCTCTTGTTTCTGGTTTTGATCACTGCTTAATATTTCAAGTTCCCCTTGAAAGTTGCTTATCAGCTTGCAGGGAACTTCCTCACAGAAATGCTCCTCTGAGTAGAGGCCGAGACAGACCTGGGAAAATGCAACATTAGTGTTACCAAGATGAAGAACAAGACAAAGCTAACATTACTATTGTACATGTTGTGTTGTAACTTAAGGTTTCTACAGCACTTTGTCATTTAAGAAATAAGAAAAAGTTTCAAGCGAATGCAAATTGACAAATGTATAAGTTCGAAGATTCAAACTGTTTTATTGTCATATGCACTCACTGAAATACTAATATACTTAAGCCATAAAGAAATAGGAAGTTAAATAGTCCAATAAAAAAATACTGCTGGTGTAACAATGGTGCAAGTAAAGTGCAGGAATAAGTAAACAATGTATATGTAAGATAGAGTGAGATAAAAAGTATGTATATTTAAATAATGTACAGTATAGAATCAATACTGTGCACTATACAGATATAAGGATATTTTGGAACAAACAAATGAACTATTATAGACATATGTGAGTGGTGAGCTCAGGAGTTCAACAGTTGTATCTCCTGTGGTATGAAACTGTATGTTCTCTTTGATTTTATTTAACTAAAGCTGCAGCGGTGTTTAAAAAAGCCAAATATGAACTTGATAGATATAATATTTTCTAAAGTCTAGGACACTTACGAAGTCAGAGGACTGCTTGCTGAGCAGCCACATGGTGGACATGCCCTGGACTGTTGTGTTGACATCAGGGAATGTGTTCAGCATCGTGGCCTCGCTTGTTTTCCCCTTTGTGGATGGAGGAGGAAGTTGAAGGGAGATGGGATTGTTGGGCATCCAGCCACTATAGTCAAACTGCAATAAAAGAAAAATACATTGTCAAAGATTATAAAACTATTAACCAGCATTATCTTTAAACCATATGTACTGTAACTGATAGTCAGGTGTAAAGGGGGACAGTAAAAAGTAAGAAGGCTAGGCCAGGCAATTCAAAAAGGCGGGAAAACACAGAAAGACAGGAAGTAAAAACAGACATGACACTGTGGGAGAAGTCTTTTCAAAATAAAACAGATTAACAAGTAAATGGACCATGACACCATATCATAGTATTTGCAATCAGATTGTGGAGCTCTCTACACAAGATGCTATGTGTCAGAGTTCAAACATAGATAAAATGCTATCCCACAAAAAGATTACATAAAAATAACAATGCACCTGTCCACAGTTCACAGCCGAGTGCTGTCCAGTGAAAATCCCCATGGTGACAAACTTGACCAACTCTGCCACGGATTAAAGCCTTTGAGGGATTCCTGAGAATGCATATTAATTGAATATATTAATATAATGTAGAGTAATTATAATATGAAATGAGGACTTGGTGGATAATAACCCATCAGCTTGAATTTAAGCACACATGTTTGCCTGGGAGAGGAATCCATGTTCAAAAATGTCTTGAATCCACTGTTGGAGTTCAGAGTCCTGGCTGACCTCAGCATCACTCTTGTAGTAGTGACCAAGCACTCCTTTCACAAACCTGAAAGAAAGAAGAACCAAATGAAAAAACTTTAGATAATGAAACGGTGGCTTATTCTAATGTGGTTGTTCACCACTGCAGCCCTTTCTGGGGCTTACAATATATTGTTAGGCTTTTTATATCCTTTGGGAACAATAATGTCACATAGTAAAAGAAAATGGAAGACTTCTCTTCCTGGAGATGCTCCCTGCTGCTGCAATACAGCAAATAAGCATGAAATGCATTGAACAATGAGATATAACAAGGAATAAACTGTAAACAACACCCAAGACCTTTATATTTTTCTCTTTTCTGGGGGCTTGTTGAGGTTAAATTATTATTCTGCTTAATAAAATGTAAACAATAGTTTCTGCGACCTCTTTGAGTTATTTCCATATTTTGAAGTAAGCATGTTTATTGTGCTGCTTATCACCTAGACTTTCCAAACAGTATTTGGTAAAGTTAGAGAAGTCAGGACCTGCTTACATTTTAAAAGGACCAGAGCACTTCGCTCAGTATTTTGTGTGTTTTTCTTTAAGATGTAAAACACATCACTTCTTCAACTTCTTTGAACTGGAAAGACTTTCTGACATCGTTACTCCTGACATAGGGAAATGAATTGAACTAAACCAGGAAACTAACATTGTAATTTTAGGTTTTTGTTTAGTTTTTCTGTTGCTCATCTAAAACACAATCACTTGTGCAAAATGCAAATATAGTTAAACACGTTTAATATAGCAGTTTTAAGTTAGATTGTTTTGTATTATCACATTGCCAGTGCCAGCAGTACCTCTGAATGATATCCCAAAGCATGAGTCCGTCATCCCTGTAGTAGTAGTTCGGCACATCCTCCATCCCACGCTCAGCAATGTCTTCCGACATGCAGAGAGACCTGTAGGTCATTGAGGACAAGGATCTCTTCAGGATTGTGATCATAGCCTTGCCACCAGATGATGCAAACTAGAGTCAAATATGTAAGGAATAAAGTTAGAGAAAAACACTATACATTACATATTGTGATGGTAAAGGTCTCAAAGTGTTTTTGGTCTTTCCGTACCTGTGTGAAAACTCCACTTGGAGATATGAGAAGAAGTCGAGCTAAGTAGTTGATCTGCAGAGTGTAGCGAGTGTGAGGAGCTGAGGGAAAGAAGGAAAATGTTATTTTAACATTGTCAGAATCTGGACACTTCCATAACATTATGTAGCATTCGCAAACACTTAAACATAAACACAAACAGCTTTGGAAAAAAACTAAAGTAATTTCAATATTCTCACTTACCTTGTAGAGTGGATGCAAGTAGTTATATTCATCCCGCTTCCATCACATTAGTATGCATAAAAAGTGACAGGTGGGCCCGCCCCCAATTATGCTAATAAGCTAAATCGAGGTGTTTTCACATGTAGGTGTGCAATGACCCCCCCCCCCCCCCCCTGTAGTAGCACCTTTGTTGTCTAATCTAATTAGCCTTTGATGTCTGTCCTTTGATGTGAGGGTTGAGGTGTTATAACAGGCAGGTGTGATATCGCACCGGCATGTTATAAGCCTCTGATGTTAATCTAGGTGTTAATTAAGGCAGCCTCTTTGAAGTTGTGTGTGAGACTGTCTCGCACCCCGTCCCCTCGCACCCCTGCCTGTCACCTCTTCCTGTCACACCCCCCATGTGAGGGGTGATGTGTTATAGCGTGTAGGTGTGAAATGTCCCCATGTAGTACAGCCTTTGTTGTCTAATCTAATTAGCCTCTGATGTCTGTCCTTTGATGCACCCTGGCAGTAGAGCCTTTGTTGTCTAATCGAATTAGCCTTAGATGTCTGTCCTTTGATGTGAGGGTTGAGGTGTTATAACATGCAGGTGTGATCTTTCGCACCGGCATGTTATAAGCCTTGGATGTTAATCTATGTGTTGATTAAGACAGTCTCTTTGAAGTTGTGCGTGAGACTGTCTCGCACCCCGTCCCCTCACACCCCCTGCCTCTCCCCCCTTTCTGTCACACCCCCCTTCCATTGGCTATGAGGCCGGAAGATAGTGGGGGTTGGAGTAAGGTAAAAAAAAGAAGAAATCCGTGCAGACTAGATAAAAAGCCAGTCATTTCCACTCATCTAGTCACCTTTCAAAAAAGAAAAATGGTCAAGAGACGCATCGATATGGGTTTAATCAGCGAGACGCCTGTGACAACTTACCGCCATCCGTCGGGAGCGCCAGTCAAGAAACGGATGCAGTATCTGTGCCGGGTTCAGACCCTCCGTCTGAGGCTCTTCATGAAAATGGAGTCTGGATGTGTGAGACTGTCTCCCCCCGTCCCCCTCACACCCCTTCTTCTCCCCCACTTTCTCTCCCCCCTCCTGTCACCCCCTGATTTTGCTGTTATCCTATGCCAGAAAGATAGGGGGGTGGAGTTAGTTTTAAAAATAAATACGCTAAAACTAAATAATAAGCCATTAATTTTCACTCACTAAGTCACCTAAAACTTGTATTGTCCTCTCTAAATTAGATTAGTTTTTTTTAATATGATTTGTGTTAACTAAAGATGTTCTTTTTTTTAAGTTGTATGGCTTGTGAACTAATGTGTAATTACTTTATTAACTATAAGGAAGTCTCTTTTATGAAGAGGGTATTCATATTCATTAAAAAATATCTTATTTAGGTTTTAATATGATTGGTGATAACTAAGGATGTTCTCTTAAGTTGTATGGCTTGTGAACTAATGTGTAATTACTTTATTAACTATAAGGAAGTCTCTTTTATGAAGAGGGTATTCATATTAATTTAAAAAGATCTTATTTAGGTTTTAATATGATTGGTGATAACTAAGGATGTTCTCTTAAGTTGTATGGCTAGTGAACTAATGTGTAATTACTTTATTAACTATAAGGAAGTCTCTTTTATAAAGAGGGTATTCATATTAATTTAAAAATATCTTATTTAGGTTTTAATATGATTGGTGATAACTAAGGATGTTCTCTTAAGTTGTATGGCTTGTGAACTAATGTTTAATTACTTTATTAACTACATGGGAGTCTCTTTGAAGAGGGTAATACTAATTTAAAAGATCTTAATTCCCCCTTGATCATGTCTTTGTTATTGTTTAATTACGTTATTAACTATAAGGAAGATTATCTCACAAAGGAACTGTAAGATACACGTTTATGTATGCAAAAAGTTAAAACTAGAAAAAATGAAATACTTTGTCTAAATAGATGTTATTTAAGAATGTGACTCTAAAAGGCAAATTTGTGATTTTAACACTTTTTACTGACACTAGGCAGATTTAGCTTTTTTATCTCGTTGTCTTTCTCAGATTTTCTTTAAGACTGTGACTCTTAAAGGCACTTTGGGATTTTAAGACAATCCAGTTTTCTGGAAATAACTTAAATGATTTTAGTTTTTTCTCCTACAAAGATACTTATAGTTACACTTTATTGGATGCAAAACTTTATAACTTGGTAAAATATTCATTGATTTGTAATGAATTGAGTTTCTTAAAGAATCAAACACTAAATGGAGAGTTTTGTGATTTTAACACTGTTTCGATGAAACAATGTGTCATGTCTAGGAAACTAATAGTGAAAGTGTATTCTTTATGTTAGTTTTGTCATGTCCCTTTGCCCTGTGCTTTATGTTTATTCCCTTAATTAATCATCCCTCTCATTTCAGGCCTCCACGCTCCCCGCCCCCTTCTGTCTCCTGCGTCCTTGATTGTTTTCCCCGCCCTGATTGTTTCCACCTGTGTCCCCTTTACCTGTGTATATATTGTGGTAGCTTCCTCCTGTTCATTGTCTGTTCGTTGTCTTACTATGACCCACGTTTCTGATTACCTCACGGACTTCCCACGGATCTACCTCATTGATCACTTGCTAGTTTTCCTCGAAAGAGTATATTTGTTTTCCTTGTTTTGATTACTGTGCAAAATTCCAGTAAAGTCTTTATTTTTTGAGAACACTATCTGTGTCGTGCAATTTAGTTCATGCCTCAGAGTCTCTCCTTGACAGTACGAACTGACCAAAAAAATGAACTCAGCCGACTCAGACCAGCTAAAGAACGCCATCCGCTCTCAGGGCCAACGTCTTGGGCAACAAGAAGAGCAGATGGCCGCCATACAGCACGGAGTGCAGCACCTATCCAACAGCCACGGGGAACTACAATCATCGGTGACAACCCAGGTGAATCTGCTGGCAGCTGAGAGGTCCAGCGTGTGCTCACTCACCTGCAGGCTGCTTCTCCTCCCACGACTCCCCCGGTTCCGGCGGCGACCGGTTCCGATCCCAACCGGTCTACTGAGCCGCACAGTACTTCCATGCGTCTGGCTCCACCCGAAAAATACTCCGGAGACTCGGAGGGCTGCCGGATGTTCATTGTGCAGTGTGAGTTACACTATCACCACCAACCGGCTGCTTTTCCCACGGACAATTCCAAAGTGGCTTTCATGATCTCCCATCTCTCCGGCCGAGCAGCAGCGTGGGCTACGGCAGAGTGGTCCCGAGGCTCCCCCATCTGCGGGTCTCTGGAAAACTTCATAGACACTATGAGAAAGATCTTCAATCAAACCACGCCGGGCAGGGAAGCAGCTCGGGCTCTGATTAAGCTGAAACAACATCAGCGGAGTGTGGCTGACTACGCCATCGAGTTCCGGACTATGGCAGCCGATAGCGGCTGGAACTCCGCTGCATTGTTTGATGCTTTCGTCAGCGGTCTCTCGGATTCCCTACAAGACCAGCTGGCTCCTCTCGATCTGCCCGCTAACTTGGACTCTGTCATATCCATGGCAATACGGATAGACAATCGTTTGACGGAGAGGAGAAGGAATAAATCCAAGGATGCGGTTGATCCGCCTCCCCAGAGGAGACGCTCGCCGCTGGATACTACTTCTTCTTGGAGGCCCCGTCACCCCTCACCGGCGTTCCGGACAACAGCGCCTCCTGGCTCCGTGGAGGAGCCAATGCAGTTGGGCCGCGCCAAGCTTTCGATGGCAGAACGTCAGCGTCGATTAAGGGAGGGTCTGTGCTTCTACTGCGGGCAGCGCGGACATCCACAAGCGGCTTGTCCGGTAAAAGAGGAGGCTCACCAATAAAGAGGAGTACGTTGGTGAGCCGGATCTCTTCTTCTGACTTTCCTCCTCGCACCCTGACCCGCATCCAAGTAAAAATCAGAGACAATGTGGTTACTCATGGTGCACTCATTGACTCAGGGGCAGACGAAAGTCTGATGGATTGGGGTTTAGTTAAAAAATTGGACATAAAAACTAAACCTCTACCCCAGCCTCTTGAAGCGAGTGCTCTCGATGGGCGGCTGTTGTTTAAAGTGACTCACCAAACAGAGCCTTTAGAAATAAGATGTGATGATAACCATCACGAGACAATGTCATTTCACTTGTTTAATTCAGCCCAACATCCACTCATTTTGGGGTTTCCCTGGTTGAAACTTCATAACCCTCACATTGATTGGCAATCTGGGAGGGTGGAGGGGTGGGGAAAGAATTGCAGAGATCACTGTGTTAAGCAGGTAGCGGAGATTGACAGAAGAGGTAACACTGGGAGGGTTAGGCAGGGAACTATCCCAGAAATATATTTTCCTGATGTTCTTTCAGTCCCTTCCTGCTACCACGATTTAAGTGAAGTATTCAGTAAATCCAAGGCTCTGACTCTTCCGCCTCACCGCCCCTATGACTGTGCTATCGACCTGATTGCTGGGTCTACAATTCCTAAGGGTCGACTATATGCTATTTCAGGACCTGAGAAAGAGGCCATGAAGGACTATATTGATGCCTCCCTCAAAACAGGCCTTATTCGCCCTTCCTCATCACCAGCAGGAGCGGGGGTTTTTTTTGTTGGGAAAAAGGATGGGTCTCTTAGGCCCTGTATTGACTACTCGCATCTCAATGACATTACGGTTAAAAACCGGTACCCCCTTCCTCTCATCTCGTCAGCCTTCGAGCAGCTTCAGGGAGCCAAGGTTTTCACCAAGTTAGACCTGCATAATGCTTATCATTTAGTCAGGATCAGGGAGGGTGATGAATGGAAGACGGGTTTCAACACCCCTTCAGGCCACTATGAATACCGTGTAATGCCATTTGGATTATCAAACGCTCCTGCTGTGTTCCAGGCTATGATCAACGACGTGTTGAGGGAGTTTCTGAACCGTTTCGTTTTTGTATATCTGGACGACATTCTGATCTACTCCCCTGACCTTGACACCCATAAACAACATGTCCGCCAGGTTCTACAAGAGCTGCTCAAGAATAGGTTGTTTGTCAAAGCAGAAAAATGCGAATTCCATGCAGAGACAGTCACTTTCTTGGGCTTCATCATTTCGCCAGGTCAGGTTAGGATGGACCCAGAGAAGGTTAGCGCAGTAGCTTGTTGGCCTACCCCTGACTCTCGTAAGAAAGTGCAGCAGTTTTTAGGCTTTGCAAATTTTTACAGACGTTTTGTGCGGAGGTTCAGTGCTATTGCAGCCCCTCTTCATGTCCTCACGTCCCCTCAAGTGCCTTTTTTGTGGTCTCCTCAGGCTGAGGAGGCTTTTTCTCGGCTTAAAGGAATGTTCACCTCTGCTCCCATACTCACCTTGCCGGACACCACTCGTCAGTTTGTGGTAGAAGTGGATGCCTCCAACGAAGGGGTGGGAGCGGTCCTCTCCCAGCGACTACAGAAGGACAACAAACTTCACCCCTGCGCTTTCCTGTCCAGGAAGCTCTCCCCAGCAGAGATAAATTACGACGTGGGAAACCGTGAGTTGCTGGCCGTGAAGCTGGCACTGGAAGAGTGGAGGCATTGGTTGGAGGGAGCCGAGCATCCTTTCGTGGTTTGGACCGATCACAAAAACTTGGAATATATAAGAAAGGCCAAAAGACTGAACTCCCGCCAGGCTAGGTGGACCTTGTTTTTCAACCGTTTTGACTTTGTTCTTTCCTTCAGGCCGGGGTCTCAGAATGTCAAG